AAAATAAATGCAGCAGTTTTGGTGGAGTAATTGTGACTGTTGAGTCACAGCAGTCATACCAAAAGACAATAGTTATTGTGGCTGTTGAATTCCTTAGCCACACCAAACGTCAACAATTGCCAACTCAGCAAACCTCATGTGATACGCGAAACATTCACCCCCAATCAAATCTTCTCAAGATTCTTATAGTAAAACCTTTTCAAGATTTGCTGAATATTTGAAAGATGATCTACACGAATAATTTTCTAGCAAGTGCTTCATCTTTTAGTTTCATTTTTAGGAAAATAAATATATTATAGATCTCAAAGAGATAATTTGAATTCTTTATATAAACCCATTTAAAAACTCCTACCATGATGAATGAATGAATGAAGAGTTTTCTCTACTGATATGTTTGGTGCTGATTCCAAACTTGTGAAGGTGCTGATTCTTTCATCTCTAGGTACTGATTCCATTAGGATTTTTTATCTCTAGTTCACAGAAGGTATTTCATCTATTGGCTGATTAGTCTGTTGAAGTTTCTGTTACTACTCTTGTTTGCTCTTCTTATAGATGTTCTTTCTCCATTGCAAAATCCCCACCCTAACACTTATTGCTTATATTGTTTCTTTCTCTTCCTTTATCTTCTCATTGGTTGTGTTATCTACATTCTTAATTTCTAGTATACATTTAAATTGTGAATGCAGGTGTTGCTTGCACTTAGTGGTAGTATGGGTAGATTGGTCATGTCCCAGTGGTTAAGAAAAAACAAAGTCTGCACATGGGAAGCTTCTGACTGGAATGAACTAACACAAGTTATTCAGGAAGTATTTAAAGGCAGCACCATAACACCTAAAAGTGGGCCTGATAAACAGTACTCTACAGTCGAACCTCTGACAGATGATGAAGAGTTAAAAATCCAAAATGAAAGGGCTTCAAGTATTGTCATAGTAGTTGATATAGGAATACTTGACCTAAGCACAGACATATGGAAAGAGCAGCTAAAGTTTCTTGATATATTTCTTAGTAAAGCAAAGTTTGCCTGGATACTAAACCATGACACCTCCAATGCTGTTAAGATGGAGCTCCGAAGGAAAAGGCATTTGCTGATGGTCAATAAGCCTCTATATAAAGCAAAAATGGTTCAGATTCTGGAAGAAGCCATCAGAGAAAGAAATCTTGAATTGCAACAAAAGAGTCTGAGTGTTTCAAGAACTTCCATTATGCAAGGTGATTTGCACGAATGTTTTGAAATAGATCCCATTCATTTTGATGTGGGCAGCTCAGATGACTCGGATACATCTGAAGCAAGAAATTCTAATCCTAGAAAGGCTACATTTTCCATTGGAGAAACTCCTGGTGAAAGAAATGCAAGATCTTTAAACTCAGATTACAGGACTATTGACAACAGTGCAGTTGAGCTAAGTCAACTCAATTCAAAAGAAAATAAATTAAATAAAAAAGATCCTGGTCAAGTAGGGCCAAATTCTAGTGACAGTGAAGACTCAACAAAGAAGTTAGTGTACACAAAGAATGCATCAGTTTTAACAATCCTTGAATGTGCAAGTTCAAGGTATGCTGAACATCAAATAATGAGTGGCATTCCTAAAGAGAAGCTTCGTGCAGATTCAAGTAAGGTGGTTAATGGACAGAAACCTCTTGAAGGGTTGTGTATACTGCTAGCAGAAGATACACCAGTACTACAAAGAGTAGCAACAATAATGCTGGAAAAGATGGGGGCCACCGTCATGGCTGTAAAAGATGGACTGCAGGCAGTAGAAGCTCTGAAACGCATTTTAAGTGAAGAGGAATGTAGAAGAATGGGGTCATCATTGCGGGATGGAGAAATCACTCAGGAAAATGTTCGACAATTCCAGAAAATTGATCTGGTCCTCATGGACTGTCAGGTATACAAGTTAGAATGCAGTTTATAGTACACGAACTTGTTATTCTTATAACTGCATTTGGCAACTGATCATCATACATACTATTAAAAGCTAAAAAGCCAAGTATGCTTCTCATGTGACTTAATAAGTTTATCCCATGTAATTCTATTAGTGCACGTACATTGAATTCTGAAGTGTAGCTTATAACTTTCACTCTCTTTTTTTTAATATCATAACACCAGATGCCAAAGATGGACGGTTATGAAGCAACAAAAGAAATCAGGAAATCTGAGGCAGGAACAGGTTTGCATATTCCCATCGTTGCACTGACTGCGCATGCAATGTCATCGGATGAGGCAAAATGCTTGGAGGTGGGTATGGATGCTTACCTTACAAAGCCAATTGACTGCAAACAAATGGTGTCCACCATCCTTTCACTTACCAAGAGATTAGCATAAAAATATGTTCTGGGTAGATGTACTCATGTACAACTGCTTGACTTTTCACACGAGCGCAGGCTAACAAACTCGTTGGTTGATGTATAGTTCGATATTATCACAGAGATGAATGTTTCACGTTAAAAAAAAAAAAGTGAAAAAGAAAAGGAAGATGTGCTGACACTCTCTTACTTCATTGTCCTCTGTGTGTGCTGTTCAGAATGCCTCGTTTAATAACAAGTTGAGCTCATCGTGTATAATCCTTACTCCCCCCCAAACATGGGCTATTTTTTTAAGCCCAATAAGGCCAATTTCATTCAGTAATATGCTCAGATACAATCCAAATAAGTACAATCGGCAAGAAAGGCCAAGCAAACGACTATGTCAAAGATAGAGTTACAAAAAGCTAAATGTGCCACCAAAATAGCAAGTAGTCCAACCTGCTGAAACAAGAAAATTGTAAAACTAGAGCATCGGCCATCAGGAGAAGACAACTCATGAGACCGAGGGAAGCTTTCATCCAACGGAAAGTGTTTTTAGGATTTTTTTGTGAAAAATTTCAAGAACTTTCGCTCCACTGTAGATCTGTTTCTCTCTTATTTTCTGTCAACCCAATTATAACCTTTATCTTCAAGCTGTTTGGTACTCTGGATGACAATGGTTGATAAACATATAAACACCTATGCGATAATGAGCTCTTGCTGTTTTTCAAATAAATGGCAAGAACCAAACACCATCTCCACCAGTAAAGTAGAACAAGGTTAGTATCAACAAGTATTTTTAATTATTTTCATCATATATATATATATATTTATGAAAAAATAAATAATATGTATAACACATCGGATCCGATCTTCTAGGATCGGATAGAGGTGATCTGAATTCGACCAAATATGATCGGATCATGATCCAATCCATTTGCACCCTTACATGGAGTAGATGTAGGAAAGCATAGCACTTTAACTTGGATGCACATTTTATCAATGTTACCAGTTGATTCGATCCAAGTCTCTGCTACAATTAGTCAGAGAGACCTTACCAAGTAGTCACTTGGCACCTTGCAACATAAATACCATGCTGTCATTTTTACGATACCAGTTGATTGGTTATAAGTTATTTTTTTTATCATATCTTTTTGGATTTTATATTTATATTAGAAAAAATCTATGATAGCAAAAAGATATGGAGAAGAGTTTTCACCAATCAAAACATCTTTCGTGAATTTTGATAAATACCACTACTGGTTGATTGGCTTTATTTTATTTTTTTGAATATTATAGTCAAACCGTTAATAAAGTCATAGGTCCTAACTCTGAAGGGCTGGCCCAGGCCAGGGATGTGTGGGTGCCTCTTAATCATAGATGCTAAGTCCGGCTCTAGGCCGACCCAGCCTAGCCCATGATCACCCTAAAATGCTGGGGTTGGTGATGCTCGTCCCATTGCTTTACCCCAAATCATTTCTAGTTCTTTAATATACGTTTTCTTTTTTGTATACTTTAAGGTTCAAAATATCGATATACCTTCATGTATTGGTATTTAAAATGACATGGTTTTATGTTTTTTAGTTTTTTTTTCAAAAATTGATTTTAAGGCCTATTTTTAATCATATTTTTCATTAAAAATAGACTTTCCTGAAACACATGTAAATCGTAAAGCCACCGATACAGAGCATATCGTATTGGAATTTTGAACCTTGGTATACTTTGAATTCAATGTACAAAATTAACACGAATTTGCTTGAAAAATTACTCAGGCTTTAGTTTTGAAGGAAGCATGTGCAAAAACAATTTTAAAATATAAAATCAAGACTTTACACTGTACATATTTATATTTGCACTCCTTCCAAAATGAGCCTTAACGAAACAAAAGAGTGTGGGCTGTGCCTAAGACGGCCCAAAACCCCCAGCCCGGTAACGGCCCGCGGGTCCACTTTACAGCTCTAAAAATGGATACCCTTCCGTCCGGCATTACGTATAAGCCAAGGGCATTTGCATAAATGTCAATAAAAATACAAACCCCAAAACATAGTGCATTTGGAGTGCCTTGTTGCCCAAGAGAAGAGACTGCGAGCTCTTTCCAAAAATTTCTTCCTCCTTAAAGATTAAGCTTTTCCCCTCTCTCAGAGAGTGAGCCTATCAGTCTCGCTGCAACACATTGCATATTTTTCAAAGAAAAGAAGCCAAGCCCAGTAACCAAGACCAGCCAGTGCAGAAAGGTAACCAGGAGCATTCCGAAATCAAAGAAGAAAGATGGCTCGATACGATCGTGCGATCACGGTGTTCTCTCCCGATGGTCATCTCTTTCAAGTCGAATACGCGCTCGAGGCCGTACGGAAGGGTAACGCTGCCGTCGGTGTTCGTGGCACGGATACCATCGTCCTCGGCGTCGAAAAGAAATCCACAGCTAAGCTTCAAGATTCGAGGTATCTTCTCTCTCTCTCTCTCTCCCTTCATTCTTTCTCATGAATTTGACATTTTCTAGATCTCGACTGGAAATTGTGGAACCGCATTGATTATGCTGCTAGGGTTGGTGTTTCAAATACTGTTAATTGTGCCTCCAATACCGCAATTGAAAACCTAAATAATAGGTGGAACACACATTTTCTTTCATGTCTGGTTTGACGAGTTAGGAATCCATGATGGTTTTTTCAGAATACGATCAACTTGTCTTGACCCAACTAGTATATATGTAATTACATGATAATCTCTTTGAATTTTAATCGGGTCAAGACAAGTATATATGTAATTACAACCAAAGGAATGACAAAGTAGTTCCATCTGATTGGTACAAAAGAGCGATGTTGGACCAGTTGATTGGTATTCTAACTTGTATCATATCAAAGGATGCACACATGATGGGAGAAACAGCGAATTTTTTATTTATTTTTAATTTAGATTAGGTTATGCATTTTCACCAGTATTGAAAATCTCAAGATCCGCCTCCTAGGAAAAAGGCTTTAGTTTTTGGTGGGTAGGACAGTAGGACCGCCTGAGCAAGCTTTAACCGGAAACTAAGGTGGAGAATAGACATTTGTATCCATCAATTGAGAAAAGAAAAGAGGAACAGGAGAGCAAACATAGAATATCAGCAGATCAAATTCGACCATCACTTACATTTGGTTGTAAGCTTGTAATAAGAGCTAATCAAGACAATTAACGGGAGAGAGAACTTCATCATCCTGGAAAACCATGAAATCTCCTTCTGAAAGTGAAACCTGAAGGTTTATACTTCCAGAGTACATCTGCATTATAGTGGTTGCAGACTTGCAGTTCTTCTCCTTCTTCTCCTTCCTGTTTCTTGAAGTGAAGTTTTTTTTTTGGTTAGTATCAAAGTAGTTGCTTGCTTGCAGTTCCATGCTTCTTTATCAGTGGTCCCAGCCTTGGTGTGTCCTTTTAATTGGTTGGGTGTTCAAGACCAATGATGAATCTAGGATGTGCTCATAGTTGTCAAAGTGATACCTAGGCAATAAGGCACTCATGGAGGGTTGCCTCACTTAATTGCCAAGATATTTATATGGTGCTATTCAATACTTTTACATTCTTAACTTTTCGAGATTATAATAATAAAATAGACATTATTAAGCTAAATTATTCAGTTTAAGTTAGAATACTAATTGTTTTTTATTATTTTTCTCATTTGTTAGGGTTCAACAACATGTATACTGCCTTGAACCCTCAAAGACTTCAAAACTTGAACTGAAAGCATGGAAGAACTCAAAAAATTGTCCAATCAACACATGATGATGATATCTTCTTCTGTCACCATTCTTTTCTTTTCTTCTTTTTCCTATGACAAAAATAGAGGCTCAATCCCACTATTTTTTGAAATTTCCATTCTTTCTTCCATTTTTAGCTTAATATGCGGAGCAATGAGTTCACATGGTCATAACACTTTCTTTTGACCTCTCCAATAAAACACATCATACTATAAACCAAATGAAATGCCAAATCACCCAGTGAGTGCTTGCTTGAGTGATTTGGTTTCGTCATTTCAATGCATTGACATGGTCACAACACTTACTTGCAACCCTTTAATAAAACACGGACATGCTATTAATTAAACCAAAAACTGAATTATCTGGTGAGTGCATCTTGTTGTTGCTACCCAAAAATGACACACTAAAAGCCCTAACATGTGAAAAAATAGAGATTGCTTCTAGGGTCTAGTATCTTACTATGATAATTTAGAAACACCAGGGTAGCCTAACATGTTGAACATGAGTTTACATGGCCACAACACTTTCAAGAGACCCTCCAATGAATCACAAGCATGTTATCAATCAAATGAAAAACCAAATCATTGAATGAGTGCATGCCTGGGTGATTTGGTTTCAATGAGTTCACATTGGTCACACCCCTTTCTTGCAACCCTACAATACAAGACATACATGCTAACAAAGTGACAATCAAACATGCTAACAAAGTGACAATCAAATGAAAAATCAAATATTCCAATGAGTGCTTCCCTTTTTCCCACCCCAATTATACAAACATAACTCGCTAACATACGAAAAAATAGAGAAGACCTCTAAAGGCTACTACCTTACTATGACAATCAAAAAAACACTGACATGCTATCAAACGTATGTTGTGATGTGTTTACATGGTAATCTTGTGACCTTCCAATAAAACACTGACATGCTATCAAACAAAAGAAAAACCAAATCACCCGGTGAGTGAATGCTTGGGTGATTTGATTTTAATGTACTCATGTGGTTGGCTGGTTGCAACATTTTCTTGTGACCCTGCAATAAGTCACACACATGATAATGATCAACTTTAAATTCAAATCACCTTGTGATAGGTGATTTGGTTTTGATTAGTCCACATGCTCACAACACTTTTTTGCAACCTTCCAATAAGACATAGACATTCTATCAATAATCAATCAAATGAAAGACAAAATTACCTATAGTGAGTGTGTGCTTGTTGTTGCTAACCCAAGTGATATATGAATTACCTGCTATCATATGATAAAATGGAGACTACCTCTAGGAACTACCTTATTAAGAATATCAAGAAATATGAAGGTAGCCTAGCATGTGGGGCGATGAGTTCACATAATTATAACACTTTCTCGTGGCCTCTAAAAAACCCAAACATGCTATAAGTCAAAGGATTTAAATCACCCGGTGTGTGCATGCCTAGATGATCTAGTTTTCATGATTTCACCATAGTTTTCAAGGCGCCAAGGCGAGGCTGGGTGTTAGGGGGGCACCTTGTCGCCTAGTCGCCTAGGCGATGGATTTTTTTTATATAGAAAACATAGATCCTAGGGTAGTTTCCTAGGTACCCATAGCCATGTTTCCTTAATAATTATTCATAATTCTCATAAGAAAAGTATAGAGTTCATGCTAAAGTATAGAAAATGTGTTGATTAGACAAAATTTTAAGTTCTTCCTTACTTATTGGTTCAGGTTTTAAAGTCTTTGAGGGTTCAATACAGCATTTAGCAATGTTTGTATTGATTAAATCCTAACAAATAAGAAAATAATAAAAACAAAATAGTATATAAACACACAAAATGAATATTTTAGTTTAATAGTGCCTATTTTATAATTATAATGTCAAAAAATAAAGAATAAAAAAGTATATAAACACACAAAAAGTACATAGTACAAAACTGCTTGGCAATTAGGCGAGGCGAGTTCAAAGGGCGCCTTGTCGCCTAGGCGTTGCCTTGACAAGTATGGATTTCACATAGTCACAACAATTTCTTACGACTATCCAATGAAACACAAACATGCTACTATCAATCAAATGAAAATGCAAGTAACCTAATGAAGGCATGCCTACTATTGCCACAGAAAATGATACAAGAACAACCCATTAGCATATAAAATAGAGATTACCTCTAGGATATACTATCACAATCAAATAATACCAAGGTAGCTTAACATGTAGAGTGACACCTAGGCGATAAGGTGCTCATGGAGGGTTGCCTCACTAAACCAACATGATATTTTTTACACGGTGCTGTTGGATACTTTTATATTCTTAACTTCCTGAGATTATAGTAATAAAACAAACATTATTAAACTAGATTATTCAGTTTGAGTTAAAATACCCATTCCTTTTTATTATTTTTCTTATTTGTTAGGGTTCAATCAAGGTGTATACTGTCTTGAACCCTTGAAGGCTTCAAAACCTGAAGTAGCATGGAGGAACAAAAAATTTTGTCCAATCAACACATATTGATTTTTCCTTTCTTTTCCTAGGACAAAAATAGAGGCTCAGCCCCTCTATTTGCTGAAATTTCTTTTTTCTTTCCATTTTTTTATGAATATGTTGATTTTCTATGTTTTAAATGAAGTTTATACCTTCCTTTTATGAAGATTATAACAATTAATAGTTAAAGATAGTTGCTTCTTGCTATGGAACCTAAGGAATTACCCTAGGATTCATGGTTTTCATTCAAAAGAATACCATTGCCTGGGTGACATGTGCCTGCCTAGGCGACTAGGCGCCCCTTATCACCTAGCTTTGCCTTGGCTCTTTGAAAACTATGAATGTGCCGTGACCTGGTTATTAACCCTCAAGTTGTTTTACGCAGATCTAACCTCAGCCAAAACCTGTCTTTGTGGTTATAGCCTTTCTCCTAGTTATTAACCTTCAGGTTATTTCGGGCAGTTTTGGCGTCAGCCACTTATTTGCTTCTTTGCTATTTTCCAGAACAGTTAGGAAGATTGTAAACCTGGATGATCACATTGCATTAGCCTGTGCCGGGCTAAAAGCAGATGCAAGGGTCCTCATCAACAGGGCACGGATTGAGTGCCAGAGCCACAGGCTTACAGTTGAGGATCCCGTTACGGTTGAATATATTACACGTTACATTGCTGGTCTTCAACAAAAGTATACACAAAGTGGTGGAGTGAGACCATTTGGTCTTTCAACGCTGATTGTGGGCTTTGATCCATACACTGGTGTTCCATCACTTTATCAGACTGATCCATCAGGTACATTTTCAGCTTGGAAAGCTAATGCAACTGGGAGAAATTCAAATTCTATGAGAGAATTTTTGGAGAAAAACTACAAAGAAACTTCAGGACAAGAGACAGTCAAGCTGGCAATTCGTGCATTACTTGAAGTAAGCTGGTTATTGGCATATTTCTGTATCTGCTATTTTAGAACTCTTTTACCCTATGCTATTTTCTCTTGTTGTTGATGTCTTATGATTCCAGAATAGAATCTTGATGGTCTAGCATTCTGAACTAATATTGGGTCATTTGTGACTTAAATGGGTTGCTCACTGTTTCAAGTTTTTTTTTTTTCGATAACAAAGAAAATTTTCATTAAAATCCAAGATCAGGTAATAAGCAACATCCACTGATAAAAAAAAGCAACATCACCATGGAAAAGAGAGAAAATGATAAAAAAGTAACACCATCCACTGCCAAACATAAAAATGTAGTTAGCTATGAGATCCAGACCCACAGGGAAGAGGTTCAGACAACTCTTGGCCTTGAACCCTACTAGCCCTGATATCTGGAACATCAATTTCTTTGGAAACTCTAGATGCTTCCACAAAATTAAAACCATTCAAAATCTCGGAATCATTCAATTTAGCTGAGGAAAAACCTTCTTCATATTATTGGTTAATAAGCTCCTCCCTACCCTCAGACTCATCACTCATCTCTCTATTCTCTATTACTTCAAATCTAATTTCATGGCATCCTTCAATCCAAGTTAGTAAACATCGGCTGGATTATCACTGGGATGTACCTTCTCTGTGCTCTTTACCAGAAATGGGGAACTAACTTTCAAATTTAAGTGCCTCTGCACTCAATTCCAATAACTGGCTTTGAAACAGAGTCACCTGTGAGCAAGGAATATAAAATTCCCCGGCCTTCTTATCAATATGTTGATTGATTGGTTTGTCCCCTCCCTTTCTGTTATGATCCATTTGCTCCACATTGGTAGTATGGGATGCTAATGTGAGGTATCCCACATCGGTAGTATGGAATGCTGTTGTGGGGTGAATATGTGCTTGGGTTCCCTCCCTCTAACAACTAGCTTTTAGGGGCGAGTTCTCCCAAGGCACATAACAAATGGTATCTAAGCCTACACTATGCCTCCCAGTTGCAATCATGCGACACAGGTGGTACTGGTGACATCGGTATTGCAGTGTTCGGCCAGGACTAGGTGGACTAGTGCAAAGCCAGCCTGCATGGGCGCCAGGACTGCAGAGCGTGGTGGAATATTACGATCCATTTGTTCCACATTGGTAGTATGGGATGCTAATGTGAGATATCCCACATCGGTAGTATGGGATGCTGTTCTGGGGTATATATGTACTTGGGTTCCCTCCCTCTAACAGCTAGTTTTTAGGGGTGAGTTCTCCTAAGGCACATAACACTTCCTTTTTCCACAGGTGGGGATTTTATACCACACCCATTCATCCTTATCCAAAGTTCAAAACAATCATGTGACTCCTAATTTCTAACCATTTGACTAAGATTCTTTGTGCTGTCATTTGCCTCATAAATAATCCCACTTTTTTTTTCCCTTTTCGGACCTTTTCCCCTAAATAATCCCAGTATCATTTCTAACTCCCACTGGTCTGGACAAGTATCATTCTCTTACTAACCCAACTGAGATCTGAATCTCAGCCTGTTGAAACTTGATAGAAGTTTGCAAGACAAACATGTCATCCTTTTACTCTCCCACCTAAATTGCCACATATAAGATTTCTCTGTCATTCAGGGGTCACATTTAAGGCTGAAAGATCTTGCCACGTGTTCAATAAAGCTCTTCTTTTTTTTTTTGTGGCCGAGTTTTATAATAAGCAGTCAAACTTTGAAATTGTTTTGTGGAAAGCATATGTCAGGTTGCTAGGGAAGGACTCAATTTTGCACCTTGCTTCTTGTGCTACATTAGAGATTTTTTGTTCCTGTGACATCCTTGGTGGTTTTGTTGCTTAAGCTGTTAATTTAGAAACAAAGTTCTGTGTTGGAGTAGGACCTTCACTATCCACTAATCTTGGGCATTATTCAGCCTAGTAAATTGATCAAATTATTTAATTAATAAACTATACATGCTTTGATTAATTGAGGTTATTAACCCCATAAATGCTAAACAAAGAAATTTGATAATTCTTTTCTGTCTTAATGTCTCCAATATACTTGTCAAAAGAAATTGTATCCAGTATGAGACTGTTACCCCAGAATCTAAGGCCCTGTTTGGCATTGTTCCTACCTATTTCTATTCCTAAGGAAATCTTGTTTTGGAACAGGAATTCTGTTTTTGGTTCCTAGGGAATAACTGAGGTATTTGGCAATTTTTTCTTCAGGAACAGATTTCTATTCTACAAAATAGAAATAATATTTGGATAACACTTTTGATCCTTAAGATTAGTTTTCATATCCATACACACAAGGTATTGTTACAAGTCGTCAATTCAAAACTATCTTTCAAAATCCCCTCATTACTCGTAAACTTTCCAACTAATTATGAGCTTAAGTAAAACAATAATTTGTTATATACTGAAACAAGCAGCATGAAAACAAACACCAGAAACTAAACTCTTTTATAGTTACTTTCAAACCCTTTTTTTTCCAACTCTGTAACCAGTGTTGCAAGGACTCGGTAAAGGGTAAAAATGGCATTCAACATGTAAATGAGATAATAACCAGTGTCAATTGTCAAATATGCAAGCAAATAAAAGGAAAAAAACTTAAATAAGAGCAACTTGTCAATATAAATTGTCTCCTCTGTTTTTGTTTGTTTAAAGGGTGAAGTAAAATAATACCTAAAGCAACTAAGACAAAATAGAAGGCGATGCAAAATGTAAAAATCACTCTACTGATAAAAAAACGTAAGAATCACTCTGTTTTTGTTTATATGACAATTAAATGGAGTGAGGGTGATTCAGGATGATCCCTGTTAAAATGAAATAAAACATAAAAAAAGAAGGGTAGAAAAGGAAGAAGAAGAACAGTGTTACTAGGTTTGCCGTCGCTGGAGAAGGAGAACGGCGAAGGGAGTGACAATGGGTGTACTTGATGAAGACAAAGTCAAATTGATTGATAAGGCTGCCACAATAACCTTCCTATAACAAAAGGGTTCCGCTGCAATGCCCCCCAACTCCTATCTCACCTTCTTCTCCCACCCTCCCTAGAACAGTGTCATCAGCATCGGCTACAGTTAGGCTTAGATCCTTTAGATATCACCAAACTCAACAACATCTCCGACTACAATACCGTGCCCACCGACATCGATACTAGAGGAAGAAGACGTTGTGACTGTTTTGCCTCAACCTCTCTTTTTCTTCTGCTGTATTGTATTTTTGAAATGAAATTACCTTTTCACCCCCACTCTCACGTGTTTGTATGCCAAATGTGTTTGCAAATTAAAATGGACATTGCAGTCCAATTGGTTTGGCTGATTCTACAAAGGCTGAAGTGATGGCTGCTCTCACAGGAATCAGGATAATAAAAAATTTGGGAATCCAGAACTTAATCATTGCAGGTGATTCAGCAAATACTATAAAATGGTTAAGAGGCAAAGAGGGGGGTCCTTGGAGATTGAATCACTATCTGACAGAGGCTAGAGATTCTTTGGACTGCTTAAATGTTAATTTAGTTTGGATTCCTAGGGAACACAATCATACTGCGGATGGCTTAGCCAAATGTGGTGTGTGTATTTGGAGCATTTGTATAGCGACAAGCTTCCTCCTTTGTAATTTGTAGGGGTTTTTTCCCTGCTTTGTACATCTTCTCATGTGCCTCCTCTTTATTTAATGAATTCTGGTTAAATTTTCTCAAAAAAATAAATAAATAAATAAAATGGACATTGCAGAAAAGCTTGTTCTGCAGGAATCATTCTTTAGAAATGACGATTTCTTCATTTCTGAGGAGCGGGGTTTTGGAGGCCTGTTCTTGCTCTGGAACAGGTTGTTTCACACGTAAAAAATATCCCAAACATGTTCCAATTCTACGGGAACATGCAGAACACGAAAAACATTCCTGTGGAACGATGCCAAATGGGATCTAAGATTGCACGGTTCAGACAATCCTTTCCCTCTCTGATCTAAACCAGAATAGATATATTAGTGTATAGGCAGGACAAGGATGCACCGGAAGAGGATAATTGTCACAATGAAGCTCTTCACAACATGCTATTCGCCTAACCCAAAAGAAAATACTAATTAAATATGGACTCTCAGTTTTTTTAATATCAAATTGTTTCTTGGTTCTTTTATCTTTAAGCTAAAATCCATCTTTTGCAAGAGGTTTTAAAAATAATAGGGCTAAAACAGAATATATGCAATGTAAATTTAATAATAATAGGTGCGCAAACCAGGATATTCTTAGGATTAGAGACCAAGAGATAACTCAATACGACCTCTTTTGTTACCTTGGTTCAATAATTCTTAACAAAATGGAGATTTAGGAGGATGTTGCTCATAGAATTGGAACAGGATGGACAAAAATGGAGGGGTGTATATGGAGTCTTATGTGATAGGTAAATACCACTTCAGCTAAAAGGAAAACTCTATAAAACAGTTTAAGGCCAGTTCTGTTGTATGGAGTAGGGCATTGAGCAATTAAGAAACAGCATGTCCAAAAAAATGAGTTTGGCAGAGATGCATATGCTTAGATGGATGTGGTAAAATTGGGGACAGATAGATTCAGAGGGTGTAGTCATACGAAAGAGAAACTAGGAGTAGCTCCACCAGGTAGTAAAATGAGAGAAAGTAGACTGAGGTAGTTTGGTCATGCGCTAGGGGCTGGATTGAAAAGGACTTGGGTGGAATTAGTAAGTAATGATTTAAGTGGCCACAATTTGATGATGGATATGGCACTGAATGAAATGGAATAGCAAAACAGGATTCATGTAGTTGACCCCATATGGTTGGGACAATGCTTAGATGATGATTATGATGAGGATGGTGATGACATGCAGATTAATTTTTTGGTGATTCCAACCCCAAATCTGGTGTTGGACCTACATGCACCATTAACTTGTTTTACTGTGTACAGTGATTTAAACTGCACACCTAGGCGCTCAGGCAAGGCTTCCTATGGTTTTGTGATTTGAGATGCTGATTATTGTTGTTGAGGAGCTGGTTGGGGTCAGACTTCTGTGGACTCCCCCCTCTTGGCTGAAGCTAAATCTCTCTGGAAGCAGTGTTTTTTGCGGTTAAAAATGATCTATGGGATTTTTGAATAGGACTGCTCTATCCTAGTTGATAGTATTTTGGGTCCTTCAAGCCCTATACATGCTGAGCTGTTGTTTTTTTGTGAAGATATTAAAGCTTTATCAGCTGGAAAGTCTTTCAGATTTAGTAAATGTTGCAGGGAAGCAAATGGTGCAGCCCATGCTGCGGCAAAATTTGGTCTTACAAAAACTTTCAGCTCTCTGCAAGCTGTTCCTCTGGTTTTGTCCTCTGTCATAGTGGCTGACAAGCTGGCTTAGTTTGTTTTTTTTTTTCTGTTTTTTTTCCTGTTCCTTTTCCTTTTTTTGGTTTTTTTTTGTGTGTTTTTCTCTTGTTTCTGCTCCCTTGTGAGTTTGTCTGTTTCCTAGCTTTTTTTTTGGCTTTTTTTAATGAAATCTGTTGTTGACAAAAAAAAGGCACTCAGGCAAGGTGTATTTTAAGGTATGCACCTCACCTAGGCCCTAGGTGCAAACTTTCAAAAGGCGTAATGTTCCAAGAACCCCCTATTTGCTAAAGTTTGTTATTCATTCATCCTAATAAAGTATCTTCATAAAAGGCAATTAAAATTACAGATTTATTGTTTTTGTGTAAGCATTAAGAATTTAAGACCCTAACTTGGATTGTTTAGGCTTGCCTCAAGGGGCTTGGTACAAAGGCGGCTTGTAGAATCAAGAATGCAAGATGTTTTACATCACATTAGCTATTTGAAGTAATGCAATCGAGGGAAAAAGACATTATGGGTTTTACATGCTTGAAAATGTTATATATGTTTAATTTTATTTTTAAAATTTCATTTGAATATGCTTTACATGTTATGTTGTTTTTATTAATATTATGTTTAACATTTTTATTTTTTATTACTTTTTTAATTTTTGAATTTTTTTTGAAAAATTTTGGTATTTTTTTGCACCTTGGTTCGAAAAGATACGCGCCTCACCTTTCGCCTCTGGTGCAAATTGCTCCTTGCACTTTTAAAACAGACTGTATATTGGAGGATTCCCAAGAACTGACCGTCTGAAATCTAAGTATTTACCATGTGATGCAGTTAACTGCATGATTGTGGCCTCTTGGCTGACGTGTTATCCACAAGTCACTACTAGTTGTCAAGCAGCATACCACTAGTTATCTATTTGATTATGCATGTTTTGTATGTCTGTTTTTCTAATATGTTTTCCATGTCTGTTTATTAATTCCTTGCATATCATATTTTAAGTTTGGACAATTGATGAGCTTTCATTATTGTTTTAGGTTGTTGAAAGTGGGGGGAAGAACATTGAAATTGCTGTAATGACGAGAGAGCATGGGCTTCGACAGTTGGATGAAGCTGAAATTGATGCCATTGTTGCTGAGATAGAAGCAGAGAAAGCAGCAGCAGAGGCTGCAAAGAAGGTCCCTCCAAAAGAAACCTAATTCTTGCCCACTTTGTGTTCCACCTTGCAATTCTGTGATGAATTCTGGTTAAGATTAGGTGTCATTTTCTTATTTAGATTATTGAACTCCCTTTGAACTTTAGGACTTTGATTACATCCTCAGGCAGGACTTGTATGATTTGAGTTATCTTTTTCTGTATTTACATGTGAGCTGCTAACATACTTTGCAAGGGAAAGGGCTCTTGTCTTGTTTGATTGTTGGCTCCTTTCTGGAAGACTGAAACCACAGGCAATAACTATCACCTAACAGGTTGATAAATCCAGAAACCACCTGAAAGAGAAGCCGAGAAAATAAAGAAAACTAGTTATCAGTTCTTGTAGGATTGGACACCGCGCTATAGTTTAAAAAGATAATATTTTGTTTAGGCTCTTGTTTGTTTGCAATGCAAATCCAAACCAGATACTAGTTTTGCACCTAGTTCAGTTTTGCATTCATTTGTTTGTAATCATGATTTACATTCTTACTTGATGCAAAATTTGTACTTTTTATTTTATTTGCATTCATTAGCAACGCAGCAAATTTTGCAACCACCTTCCACCTACCTCAACTCTCTCATATAAAGTGATGACCATTAGCTTCTCACTCCTAAACAAATAACCTTCCCTCAGTCCTACCTTCATTTTCTTGCATATTAAGGTTAGGACAAGACAACATCTTGCTTCTTATTTTACTTTCCACAAACAAACAAGACAGTCAAATGGTACATTCGTGATTTGCATTTCAAATTTGCACTGCATCTAAAACCTTAGGTTTAATATCACATCTGTGATCTGTGTATAACCGGATGACTCTTCATTGTAAAATTTATTTTTATTTCTGGTGACGCATAATGATATCGATACAAATTTGATATCGAAAGATTAGAACGACTAATGTGGTCATTTTTGTCCATATCTCTCGCATGTCGCATGGTAGTACTTATCGTCACGGCAAGCATGAACAGTGAAGTGAGTAGATGGGAAGATGAAGAGAATAAAATAAAGGCGTGAGTGTGACTGCACTCCTATTTATTTATTTATTTTTGGGTAATAATAGCTGCACTCAATGCAATTTAATACAGCCAACTATCTATTTGGGATACCTTTTTTTTATAGTCTATCCGAATATTTTTTGACACCCCACCATTTTTGAATTGCGTGGAGATATTATTTAAACGTGGTTGCTATTTGATTATTTCTTGGTGGGTGATTTTTCCTGATCCCCGAATGTGGTGCTTCCATAAATACAGTAAGAACCCTTTAGCATTACTGTAGCATTGGTCATCAATGCATCAGAAAACAGGTGCCACCAACCTGACGTTCTTTCAGTCCAGTTTTAAACACGTATGCACTATTAGGTGGTAGGTGCCACATCAGACAATCGAAGTGGGAATGCCTCTCAAGTCTCAAATGCTCTCTAACACTTCCATTCTAATGATCCAAAATTCCGAATTCAATGCAGAATGTGGTACGATTGTTTCAAGTTAAATCTGCCAATCAAGCACACCATGGTTCAAAACCCCATCTGAATAATTTCCTCCCCTGTAGTAAATGCACATTGCGAAAAGAACATTAGTCACTGGGGAATGGTTTTACCAATTAACCACCAGTCTATCATATCGTTCTGCCACTACGAACCATCAAATAACTGAGACCCCCAAAGAACATTAGTCACTGGGTCAACCATCTTCTCTAGTTCAAGTATAGCATGCCAACACTGAACTCAGCTTCTGCGCATTACAAAACAAAGGACATTATACCATATTCTATATACAAAGGTGGCTCTGGATCAAACCTCTGAGCTGTGAAACTGCAAGCTCTTTGTGGAATAGCCTGTGGGCCTCATGCATCCTGCTCTATCTCCACCCTTGAATCCCCTCATGGCTCAATTTGTTTCTGGTGTTATTCATTTGCACTGGTTTACAAGTATGGAAATGCTGGGTGTCAATTTTGTTTTGCTTTTACTTCAGACTTAACATTGTCTTTAATTGTTTGTGAGAAGGAAAATGATGTGATCCCCACCTTAAATGAAAGAGAATGGTGGTAGGAGGAGGGTTATTTGTTTTGGAGTCAGGCAAGGGATACACCCCTTGTAGAAATGTATCAAGAAGGCCCTGATACAGCTAATATGTAATGATATTTTGAACCTTGGGTTATAGTGCAAATCATAATTACGAATAAACAGATGCAAAACTAAACCAGGTGCAAAACTTTGTTCAATCTACCGATTGAAAAAAAAAAAAGTTCGAAGAAGAGTGTCACAAATTGGGATTTGATCATCACAAAATACATTTTATACCAATCTCACAGAAAATCCCACCATGTATCGAAAACATCTCCCCATGAATAACAAGACATAAATACGGGAGATATTCCCGATGTGCCACTGAGATATATCGTAAGGTTGGTGTGAGGATAACTCTGCGAAAAACAGATCCGGATTCAAATGTCACTACCCGCCGTACTAGGTGGCTGCCTGAAATTCATCCAACAAAAATATCCAAACGTGTCAATGTCATGATTCATAATTAGAGCTTTGACAAGCGTCTTCTTGTCTTGGGGTTATACAATTAAGAAGCCTCTTATGTTTGCCACGTGTAAATGATTAATATTTTGATTATTCCCACGGTAGACATCACTTGATCTGATATGTCGCGCTTCCTTCCATATTCAAGCCAAAAAATCAGGCACCAAAAAAAAAATGTTGGTTCAAAAAATATATATTGCACAGTAGAATGAGTAAGATATTAGATAAAAGGAAAAGGAAAAGCCCAAACCAAGATAAACATTGTATATGATGGTATCGTCACCCTTAAAAATTATTAGAGAAAGAGTGGGTCCTCCGGTTGCTATCTTCGTGTTTTGTCCCCATCAGATTGTTGATCAATTGGGCGGGTCAGGAATTTGAATGGCTCGGATTGAAAGGTCGGCGTCTCGCGTGTATTGATGTGGATAGGTTGGACTCTAATTTTCATTAAGGGTTGGGCGTAAGGAAGATAGGCAAAACCAAAAACCTCAGCCCATGGACCCTGATCCGGTAAGAGTTCAAAGCACAACCTGGTATTTTGGTGCCTGATTTTTGAGGTACTCGATTAACATTTTTTGAGGTCTCGCGTGTATTAAGCTACTCGATTAACAGAAACGTTGACAATTAGAACGACATTCAATCTTCTTGCCTTCCCATTTTTTTTTTTATTGAGTCAACGCAATTTTGTTCAATTAGGGTCACTGTCGTCGCACCTCAAAGCACAACCTGGGGACCGAATAATCGAGTAGCTTAATACAAAAAGAGAAAGGAGCATGAATGGAAACGTTGGTATTAAAAGCAAATTGCATAATGTCACCCTATACCTAGGGGGTGGTAACAATTACGCCCCTCCCCCAACTTTGTTTTCCACAAAGTCCTCTTGAACCTCTGGATTTTAGCATTTTTTGCTCCTTACTTTTCTGACAAAGTCATGGTGGAGTTAAATTACCAAACTACCCATTCAAAATTTGATCGACTGAAAGCAAAAGCTATCAAAATGAGTATGCTAAAACACAATATCTCTTTTCAGTAAGTTATTTATCCAGGTAAATGTAATTATTTGGACAAGTTTTAGTTGGAAAATATTCACCCGGATAATTGCAATTATCCATATTCTTTTATTTTTCAAGTAAATAATATAATGACCATTTTAATCATAAAAATTCATTACTGAGTGTATCTTATCGTATCTTTTGGATACTAAAACACCTATTTATTAGTGCTTTCAATTCAGAACACCTTTTTTTTAATAAAAAATATATGTAAAAACCAAATTTTAAAAATAAAACTAAAAAAATATAAACGCTCATGTTTAACTCATGTTTCTAAGTATCGATACACCTCTACTGATAAGAGGTGCTAAAATTAAAAACCTTGATGGGAAGCCAAAAGTGCTAAAATTCAGAAGAAACGAAGTTTGAGGGGTAAAGTGTCATCGCCAAAGTACAGGATGGTTGTCTGAAATTAAATTAGATAAAGATAGAATTTAATAAGTTGGCATAAACGACGGTGGTTAGAGGTATAAAGTAGGCCGTGTCGGGCCGGCCCGTGGGCGGCAGGCCATCACGGGCCGTGCCGCCATTCCCGGTGAAAAATTTGGGAGTCGGCCCGGCACAACCCACATCTCGGGCCCATGTGGGCCCGTGGGCCGAGCCTTGGGTTAGGTCAGGCTGTGTGTTGGGCCAAAGCTATTTATTTAAAAAAAATTGATAAAAAAACTTAAAATTTTAATTTTATATGAATTTTGTGTATAAAATTGCTTATATATGCAATAATTAAATAAATTAGTATAATAAAATTAAAAATATTTATTTTATTAATATATTGTATACTATATATTATTATATAATTATAATATATAAAATATATATAAAACATATAATATATATATATATATGGGCAAGGTTCAAAATATCGATACGCTTGATACACCGATAGGGGCGTATCGAGTGTTTCGCTACTTGTTTTTTTTACTTTTTTTTTTTCAAAACTGGTTCAGGGAAGCCGGTCTAGGACCCCTCCATCCCCTGAACCGGTCAGACCCCCATACACCCACTGTAGGGGCGTATCAGAAAGGTCCCAGAACGATACATATCAACCGATACAGGCTGATACGTAACAATACTTTGAACCTTGTATATGGGTTGTGCTGGGCTGGATCGCGGGCGGCACGGGCCGCTTGATCGTGTCGTGTCGTACTGGCCCATGGACCTAAAATCCCAGTCCCAGCACGACCCGCATGGTCATGGCGGACCTAGCACAGCCCATAAACCGTCGTGCCAGATCGGTCCAAATTCATATCGGACCACTGGCAGCACGACCCGATTTACACCTCTAATTGACTGAAACTAGTAAGAGAGTGGTTTATTGTATTACTATTAATCTTAGAAAGTGTCAGCGCCACATTAAATTTGCATTTATTGTACTGCCACCATCTTCAGATCAGATCTGCTCCTCACACCTGGCGCCTCACACGCACATCCTATCATGCCTATTTGTGAGGAGCAGGTCCCGTCACCACCATCTTCGCCAATATAATATCTCGCTACCTTTCCAACTGTGATCTCTTTTCGTATGATACCTCACGAAACTCGTTGTACACCCCCCCCCCCCCCCCCCCCCCCCCCCCCCCCCCCCCCCCCCCTCCTTCCATCTCCTTTGTCCTTTCTCTCTCCCTTTCATTTAACATCTCTCCCTT